TCAATACCGCAGGAAGACAAAACAAGAAGGTATTGATAAATCTAACAATCCACTTGAAAGCAGAAGCGGAGTGGGATTTATCTTGCTACTGCACTGCTTAATTGAGATTCAAGGTGCTTTGCCTTTTTGATGGTCGGTCGAAGCATTTGCATTCAATACCGCAGCAAGACAAAACAAGAAGGTATCGTTGTTACTACCTACTTGTCATTCTGCTGTAAGTACTTTGCGTGAAACGTTGAATTGGAAGACTAGTAATCCTGTCAAATGAGATTTAGAACATTTCTAATTTATCTCCTATTCTATGGTCAAAGAACCATCCAACCGAGAACGGGGTCGCTCATATCAAAAAGAAACTATTCAAGTACAAAGTTTTCGACACGTACGATCCGACTTTGATCGTGATGTCGGGATTCGACGCAAGTATGCCGGACACAAGTCTGTCCGACAATCTACATCCACACAAAAAGGGAATGACCCTATACAAGTGAGATATCAATGTTGTGTACAATGCAGTAGGGAATAATACAAGATGTCCCAAAGTACTGCATCCAACACAGAATTGCCGTAGAGGTCGAATCAAGTTCTGTAAACAAGGGATTTTCCAAAGGAAAATTGTTGAACTTACTTTTGTGATTGAATCATCAATTCAAGCCGAACATTAATCAAATAGGAACAATTTCACTCAAAGTATACCTAGACACAGGAGAACTATTGTCGTGAAAGTGTTGTACAGTCAATTACAAATTTAGATTGCAGAGAGTTTGTTCTGAGCGCTAAAGGCACTCACGATAGAACACATTTTGCTTTATTCTAACACTGATGGTCAGCACTTTTGTTTCTCATGAGTTTGGATTTGGCTTTAATGGACTAGAACTTACATAAGAGCAAAGGCAAACTGTTAATGCCTTTCGCAGGAAGCCAGAAAACAATTTGTACAAGGATGAAAAGGCGGCCATAATGGTACTCAGTCAAAACAGGAAAAAGGATATTGAGCAAGGCAGTTACTCTGGGAGCGCGGTTTCCTTGATACAAATGTACCTGTCAATCAATTATGGAACAAGTACCCAATTGAAGGTCAGAAGGACGACTTGAAAAGAATCATTCCCGGAACGGCACTGAAGGAAATCATTGGGGCCCTACCTGATTTTGTTGCAGAGAAAACGCTGCTCCAGCACCATGCTGAGTCAAGAAGCACGGCGGGTTGTTGCATAAGGTTGATCAGGAGTCTAAAGTGCCATCCTGAAATCGCTGGTGAAGGAATTGAATATGATTGGGCTGGTGCCAAGACTTTCTATCGTCCAAGGTTAACTTCCAAGAGAACATCGGCTGCATTCAAAACTTTGGTACAGGACAGTGTAAATTCCGTGAAATTGGCATATAGGTTCGCTTTCTCTTTTTGAGCCAGAGAGTATATGCTTGCTTATGATGTCTTGGTGGCGTGGGAGGATGGGGAGTTGTCGGAAGACTTGAAAGGTGGAATGAGCAAATTGCTCGATACTTCTGCCATGATTAAGGTTGGGTGAAAACAATAATGTTTGCAATGAAAGAGCATGAGGTAATTGTAATAGACAATGAATAATAATCTCAACAGATGATCATTTCAATTGTTTCGGATGTAGTTGCCGGTTTTGTGCAATTTTCGCGTGGTACGTTTCTATGTACCATAATTGTCTTTGTACCATGGCTACGCGTTTTTTACGGTGGGAAGTCTGATCATGATGTGGACTGTACAGGAAATAGATGCTGCGGCGACTCGCATAGTGACTTTCAAGATTCTCCGAATTTCTGCGTGGGCAGTATTTCATTTTTTCAAATAGAAACGGCGGGGGAAAAGCAAAAAACCTGGGCACATGTGATATATATTATTGCACAGGGAGTATTTGAAAATGATGTATTTTCCGTACTAAGGCCATGGCAATCTGTGATCCAACGGAATTCATTCACGGATGATGTAAGTGACACTGGAGTACTGTATTTGAAAATCAAATACTACCTTTAAAGTAACCCGGAAACTAAGGTATATCAGCCAATCAAAACTAAGGTGTCGCTTACAAACTAAGCAAATGTGGAGGGAAAAGCTTAAGCCAATGTAGGTAGTTTAGGAGTCGCCTGAACCATCTGGCCAGTCAATCTCCATTTCCCCCCAAGATTCAAAACCTCGTGCCGGCATACCCGCTCGCCGGCCTTCTATCTGTTAGATTTGAATTCATCAATCATTCATTCACTCACGGTTTCATCAAAATTGCAATGTAAATGAAGGTAAGTTTTGGATGGGCGTTGCATCTCCTCCATACAAGTTTCTTACACAACTCTATTATCACTCTATGCGCAGTGATGAGACGGATCGAATGAATGTGGTTGCCCTTCTGCAATTGGTCAACTTTCCTTTCCCTATCACTATCATGATTCAAGAGCTGTCAATGATGCCGACGGGAAAGAGATCTTGACAAACCAACAAGACCCCACCAACTCAAGTAATGATACTACAAAAGATCTACGCTTGCCTCTATTTGGCCTGTATATCCGCGAAGTTTTGACGAGATTTTGTCATTCTGTTGTTGCCAAAACAATGTTCAGATGTCAACTTGTCAACAAGTCAAATGCTCTATGTTGCAAAGTCATTGACCTGTTATTGTACAAATGAGCTACATTTGCGTCTTTTTTTTGCAAAGTATTGACTGAGGTTCTGCCATTCTACGGTGGCAAGAAATTTTTTAGAATGAAACGCATCAATCAACAAAATTTGCTATGTTACGGGTAGTATTCTTTTTCTACAAGCACAACCTCTTCTTCTTTGAGCTGTCTTGATGTGTCATTGCCACCAACAAAAGCACTCCTATAATAGAAAGAGACACAATACATGTCTCTTTCAACAGTCCTGGACAAATGCAATGTGGCTCAGTCTCATCAAAGATCATAAGCAGACACCATGCTTGCAAATCCTACATTTCAATAGATTGGCATTTCAACAAGACTGTAGACATACAATTATTCTGATTATTCTAATATTCTTATGACAGATGGATTTGACAGGGGTAGAGAAGAACCTGGTTACCAGGTACTGCTAGTCTCAACCATTCTTTGTCACAGGTCGTAGCCAAGAAGAAGCAATTCTTCCAAGCGCCAACTTGGGCGAAATTGGTGCATTTGGATCTCGTCTTTGGGAACTCTAATATAAAAGGACCTCTTGGGAAAAAGGGTGCCAATTTAACGGACCTCTTCAGAGAAGGTGTCAAAGCCAATGCAAATAAAAAGGATCTCATTGGCTAGGTGTAATAGAATTCTGCTTACATATGCGCTGGTTTTCTTCCGACTTGCAACATATCGATTCCATACGACAGTCAATATTTCAGAGATCCACTTCTGCCAACTTTTTGGGGGGCGACAAACAACAAGAGCAGATGCCTGCTTGTCCTGAACAACAGAATCAAGAACAAGAGCAACAAGAACAAGAGCAGCAAGAACAAGACAAACGACAAGAGCAGATGCCTGCTCGTCCTGAACAACGGAATCAAGTTCATGACCAAGCGCGACAGGGTGTACAACAGGATGGGGTCCAAAACTTTCTAGAGTTTACGCCCCGGCAACAGCACGCTTGGCTCCGAGCACAATGTGACTGGTGCTTTGCAGTCGCGGACCACTTTCAACCAATGACATACACAACAGTTGAAATCGCGTTCAGCACAGTAACAAGCACTGAAGGATAGTGTCTTCAAAATTGATTCGACCATCTCTCAATGATTTATGAACATGTTTTCTCATTTCAATTCCATATTGAGCAGGAGTGAATCCATGTTGCAACTGAATCTCTTTTGGCACCAGGTGATCCTGTGGTGTCCAAAACGCCCACCGCACAAACGTTCCCAGCATGAACATGCCGCAATCATTGGAATAAATGGCTTGATCAGGCGAGTTCATCAATACTTGTTTTGTATTTGCATATGGTGTACCAGGATTTGTAAACAATTTCTTCACTTCTGTATGATTAGTTGTTCTCACTGATGGAATGCTGTCAACATAAACAAGTGTCTCATCTTCATCGTCAGCACAAGTCATGTCAATGATGATTGCAGCCCAGTGGCCACAAGCATAATGGGCAAAGAAAGCGGGAACAAAGTGAACTCTTTTTTCCTCTGCAAAGAGATGCCTCACACCCTTCCACCCTTCCTTGTCACCGCATATACAACAAGATCAATGAAGAAACACCTGCAAGTTCATTGTTGCCCCTATAGGTATGCACTCCATTGATTATCAGTGAAATGTAACCATCAACCACTTGATCACTCACACACATTCCTGTTGTTGCAAGATCCTTCATTGAATATTTGCCTACTATATTGCACATGTTTCTGCGCTTGTAACAATACATGTTTGGAAGGCACACTTGCTTGTTTGTTGTCACCATTGTCTATAATTTCCATCACTTCTGGTATGTCTTTTTTAGTCTTGCAGCTTGTTTCAATGCTTTGTATCTGCGCTTTAATTTTGTGTTTTCTGATTTGATTTTCTTTTTTACTTCTATCTGTTGGAACGTGTATTAGATACTTAGAATTGGACTAGTCAGATTAAGGTAGCCTGGTAGGCGCAGCGGTTCGATTCCGTAATACCTTATATTTGACATGGTAAGGTTATGGGATCCAGTCCTCGATTCACATTTCCCTTGTTGATTTTAGAAATGAATGCCGACTGTCTGCATCAAAAGGATAAAGATGGACGTGCGGGGTTTCCGCACCAGAAATGGGTGTGCGAGTATGAAGGGCTATATCTAAGTATCAAATAAGGGAGGATGTTGGAACGTGTATTAGATACTTAGAATTGGACTAGTCAGATTAAGGTAGCCTGGTAGGCGCAGCGGTTTGATTCCGTAATACCTTATATTTGACATCCATCTCTACCATCTTTTTACGATATTCTTCCTTTACCTCCTGTGGCATCTACCCAATGAAAGTACAACTTGATTGCTTGTACCCCAAGCAATGTCACACTTGGGACTGGCAATATGGATACCAAGCGCATCTTCTGTTCTGTCGAGTTAGTTCTTTTTTGGTAAGACTAATAAGCATTTCATAAGTGCGCTTGTCTTCAGTGTTCATTTCTAACTTGACATGCTTTGTTTGATTTGGTGCCCCATCAGATGGCACATAGTTTGGCATTGCCTCTAAGGGCCGTGACAGATGTGTCACTTGCTTTGGTAAATTCTGAGTTTGGATGGTTGGGGACTTGTTGTTGATTGCTCTCAAAGTGTTTTCATAAGTGGGTTGGAAGCTAAATTGAGCTGTTTACCAAACAGCTTAATTTGTTGGTTGTGCTTCCATGAGGTGAAGTACTTCTTGAGATGATCCACTGTCTTGGGATATATTTGTTTTTGTTCACTCATTGCCTCTTGTAAGAATTTGCAGGCCATTGCATTCCAATCATTGATGTTTGGATTGCAACCCTGCTCAAAGATTGTTTTTAGCTGGGAGTTGTACAACGTGAATTCATCTTT